GATCCAGAGTTTAGGGTTTAGTGTTTGGGATTTAAAAGCTTCGGGTTGAGGGTTTGCGATTTAGTTCAGGGTTTTTTTCCCCTCCTACCTAGCAAGGACGAAGCCCTAGGGTTGGGTTCAGGGGTGGGCCTTAATCAAAGGGCCCCAAAGGTTGGATGAAGGTGGCTGGGCTGATCCCTACTTAAAGCATACTGAAGCCGAGGGAACTTAGCAAGTAGATTCTAAATGGGCGGAGGACTCAAGGACGACACATTTTGAGTTAAGGGCCCGGGCTTGGATTTGAGGTTCTGGGATTGGGGTTGGGGCTGCCTGGCGAGGATTAACAACAGCTGTCACTTGTCTTGGTAGACCCTGTTGAGGGCAGCGTTCAAGGTTTCAAGAGACGCGCTTGGCTAACGAGGCGGTCTTCAAGGCCTGTCATTCTTGGCATTTATAGGAACTTTCCTTACTTTCCTTGGGCTTCTGGAATGGGAGGACAAAGCGACAGGCTTAAAACTGGCCCTGGACTTGCAACGGTGCCTAGTCGAAGAACGCAAGGAACATTCGTCACCCGTCCCCGGCACCTCGATGATGCCACAGATGTCGCCCTCCTGCCAAGCAAAACATGAAGACGAGTGACCGTCTGCGTTCTTAGCAATGATGGGGGTGCGGGCGGTAGCAGTAGCAGTCGTCGTCGTAGCTGTCTAGTGTGCCGGGAGTTTGTACGGCAAACTTGTCCATGTTGCGCTTTGTTTGTTTTTGTTTGGGGGGGCAAGAGGGACGCGCAAGCTTGCCAAAAACCACCTGCAGCAGCAGCAGCAGCAGGAGCAGCAGGACTCTATTCCGACCGCTGCCCCTGCGTACCGAATAAAATTTGCTCAATCCCCCTTGCAGTGTCCATTTTCACGATGGGTTAGCAAAGCTGCAACTTCGAGTGCTCCCTCATAATTATTAGTTGCCCCTTAACCTTGTCTACTGGAGTACCGACCCGAGATTGCCAATCTACCCCCCAAAACACCGAAGAAACACACAAAAATCCCAAAACCCCAAACCCCAAAATGCACTGAAACCCTAAACCCTGAACCCCCGAAAACGCTAGACCCTGAGTCCTTAGCCCTACCTTCACCTACCAAAACCTATATACTTTTTTGGGGTCGCTATAAATTCCATATTAGGGTTTATAATAAGAACCTACAAAAAAGTAGGGTTCGGTAGTTTAAAGTAAACCCAGAAGACCCGCCTCATCGGATTCCGAGCTCGGAAGATCCATGGCGGCGATCTCCGCACGCGCCATGTCCGGAACGAAGGCGCCAGGGCTTTTAGGGCTTAGGGTTTAGGGCTTAGGGTTTAGGGTCTAGGGCTTGTAGGCTTTAGGGCTTAGGGTTTCCTGTAGTCTCCATTGTACTTCCTGTTTTGGTTTAACCAACTGCAACTGAAGGATCCTAGAAGCTAAGCCCCAAAGGGAACTACAACGGAGACTCTACGTGGGGTCTTTGAGTTTTAGGGTTTTTGGGGCCCTTAGAGCTTAGCTTCCGAAGCGGGGGTACCACAGAAGGCTTGAGGGCTTAGAGTGGCAGACCCGGGGTTCGGGGTTTAGGGCTTAGGACTTATATGGCTTGAAGGTTCAGAAACTTAGGGTTGGGTTCCTAGGGTACCCCGCCTGAAACTGCATTTTTTTGAGCCCAGGCTCTATGCCATCATCAGCTGAAACTGCACTTAGATATCCAACTAGGCGGCCAAAAGTACACAAACTTGCAGCATATCACGTTGCGGCTGAGAGCTTGCATTAGTTCAAGGAAGTCAAGGTTTACCTTCTCGGCCACCATGGTAAAGCGGCGAAGCTTCGAGACTATCATGCGGAACACTTGTCTCGACGGACTCCTGGAAGTCTGCAGCACGTTGAGCAGGGCTTTTCAGATATGGTGAGGGAACCGAATAATGAAGCCCAAATGTTGTACATCCTTGTTCAGGGCCGAGAAATCCTAAACCCTGAAAGCGCTGCACCCCAGCGCAAGCCCGAACTTGTCAAAGCTCTAAACTCTGCAGGCCGACACATGGAAATGCCGCATGCTATTCGGTCGTACTCTCGGATTAAGCCAGAGTCTCTTTGAGCAAATCCTTGAGCCGACTTGTTAGACCCTACTTAGAGACTGTGGGATAAATCCCGATCCGGGCACCGATGATGCCAGCTGCAAGAGTCCTTGCGACTAGTACAACCGTCCCTGAAGCAAACCCTACAATGCCCCATTGGGAGCTGGGATTAGGGGGACCCTTGGGGATATAGACCCTGTCAGTAAGGCCTCTTTTAAGAGAGCCAGAAGTAGGGTTCAGAAGGGGTACCCTTTAAGGGGTCTCCCTAACAATACTACCTAATTACCCATGGCTGACAGTCCAGCTCTTCCGTGACGGCATGGTCCATCGCCTTGTCACACGGTTTAGGGTTTAGGATTTAGGGTTTTTAGCGCCCGGATTAAAGGTTATTGAGGGCAAGGGGAGAGCCATGATTTTTAGCGGCGGCAGATAGAAACAACTACCGTTGTAGTTACGAGCTACACGTACCCTTCGCCTGTGCAAGAAAGAATGTCGTTCAACCCCGAAATTCCAAACCTTAAAACACTAATCTGAACTCACACCCTAGAAACTAGACAACAGGTGAAAGCCGACGTCATGACAACACAGTGGACTAGCCTTTCCCCATGCGCCAGCACGTTACGACTTAAGAAATGAAAACTTGCAGTAGTCGGGTTACGGGGAATATCAGACGGGGAAGATTAGAGGATATCATGTTGAATTGTTCAAATCTCTTATTAACGCATCTGGACGCGAAGGTAGGAGTGGAAAAGCTTGCAGGGTTCAGGTAGGTTGAGCTTGTGGTATGCTGGTGGCTGCGGGTTTTGAGGTGGAACTAAACACTAGACTCAGGAAAGTCAAGCGTGGAGCACACTGGAGCTGTAGTGCTGCACAGCTTGCAAACCCTAAACCCTAAACCCTGAAGCCCAAAACCCTAAACCCCTAAGCCCCTAAACCCTAAACCCCCAAACCCCTAAACTCTAAACCCTCAACCACTACCCTGAGAGAAGGTACTATCAACATGCAGCTTCACTGTCTCTCCACTGTTTGTGCGCCGGAGCCCCGGGCAGAATCTGGCGGGCGAGAGCTTCAAGCCATCGAAAAATACTGAGCGAAGAGGTTTCCAAATCTTAAAACAGATGTTTCGACAGCTTCACCTGATGCAAAAAGGCTCTAATTGAGTTTGATAAGTAAGAACATGAAACTCAGACTATCCTCGTATCTTGTGACCTGGTGACTTGAAGGGGCTTGTAGCTGAAGGGGTTGTGGATAGCTGATGCCTTCTGCAAAGATGCCTTGAATCTCTGGGTCGGGATAGCATAACGAGAGTGTGGATAGGGATCTTTTGCACCTTGAATTAGGGCTGGCCACCACAAATGGAGCCAAGAAGACGCACGCCAACGCTATTTGTTTCCGCTCACTGGGTAGACAGCGGGGCCAGCAGTGTCTGGGGCCCCAACCCTTGATATCTCGTGATGCTACACGCAGAACCTTGAATGTGATTCTGCTGGCCGGACTGCCAGCATGTGAGGATGAATACAGTTACGGGAAACTTAGGCCCTAAACCCCACAACTAAAGCTAAGATCCAGTTGGGGATTTGTGTCCTCGGCTTTCTGCAAAGGGAAAGTTTCGCAAGTGCCGGAGTTCCAACTCTGCGGCGTATGTTCGAAGAGGCCTCTATAGGTACTCTAGCCGAGTATTTCTGTGGAGGCTCCTTGCTTCACTGAGGGGGTTTAGGGTTTAGGGTTTGGCCAATTAGACAATGCGCGGATTAAGGTGGAGGTTGGCAAGTTTAAGGCTTGGGGTTTGGGGCAAAAGTTTAAGGTCTCGAAAATCTATTTGCCCGGGACAGTCTTATAGGAGCTCAAGCAAGCAAGCAAGGCCTTCGGGTGTATAAGAGATGATATATATATATATAAATAAATAACATATGTATATATATATATATATACATATACACAATAAGTAGTATGATAAGGAACCCTGCAGAAATATAGCTGGTAGGACACTTCTCCTACGGATACCAAACAAGGATCCTTGACAGAAATCCCCAAGTTCCACACCGAGACACAGCTCGCCGCAATGTTTTGCGAGCGCCCATGCCGCTAAAGCTCACTTCAAGAGCCCCCGCCCGTGTCTTAGGTCTTAGGATAGCCTTCGACACAGGGCATACCATAGTGCAATGGCCCGGGCAGCTTCCATCAAGGATGCCGGGCTTTCGCGAGCGAACGGACAGTGACAGAGGTCAGAAAAAAAAACAAAGGGGTCCTTATAAAAGTACGGCACCTAACATTTAGGGTACCCAAAAAGGGGCCATGAGGCAGATCCCAAAGCCCCAAGTTTCAAGCAGACTTCTACCCTTTGCCCCGAGCCCGATAGCCGTAGCAGTAGCAGCCCTGACCCCATCCAGAATCCAACTCATAGTTTTACATAGGCTAAACCTACAAATAACTGAGTGTTCACAGCCTCGTGAGGCGGAGCCAACCAGCAAGTTCAGGGTGTCGGTGTTCAGGCGTAACAGCTCAGTGTCGAGGCTTAAATAAAATGAAACAAGCAGTTTCAAATCAAAACCCATGACTTCTTGCCGTCCGCTCCTATGCATCCGTGAAACAGACAGAGGCCTTAAGCCTCACGCGACTCCTCGAAACACACTCTCTGCTCTGTCTTCGTTTGAGGTTCAGCAAGCCTATGTGTGATTACTTGAAGATTTTTGTGGTGTCTGCCAACTAGGTAGGCAAGCTTCTGCACCCTGAAAAAATGCCGTAACCTCATAATCCTGATTGCCCCAGAAATCATTCAAACCTTAAGCCCAATAAATCCTAAAAGCCTTAATCCCTACATATAAGCCGTAAACCCTACATCCTATAAATCTTAAGCCCTACATATAAGCCCTAAACCCCAAAAGCCCTCATACAGAGCCAGCGCAGGATAGGCGTGTAGACACATTTGCTCAAGAGCCGCCCTGGGTCGTCTGCTGCTGGTTTGTCATGCCTGGCATCGACGAATTAGCAGACCATATAATATGTGATACAAAGAGCCAAGCTATATGTACACATATGTATGCACATATATATATATATATATATATATATATGTGCATACATATGTGTGCGCACACAAACGCTGCATATCATATGTATGCGTTGATACCAGTGCAGGCAGACAGGCAAACAAACGAACGAAGAGAAACCAATTTACGTACATTGTATTTGCATGGATATATAACAGAAATATACATACGCATACATATATAATTACATGCATGCATGCATGCATGCATACAAACAAACATACATACATATACAACTCCTTACATACACAACTCCATGCATACATACATCCATACATACATACACATATACATATATACACAAGCATACACACGCATACATATACACATACATATATACAGAGGGAGATGTATGTATGCAGAGAGAGAGAGAGAGAGATAGAGATAGACAGAGAGAGCGAGAGAGAGAGAGAGAGAGAGAGAGAGAGAGGCTGCGACTGAGAGAGAGAGAGAGAGAGAGAGAGAGAGAGAGAGACAGATATAATATTATCATAGTATCACAATTGCTGTAATGTCCCGCGCAGGGGCTTGAACAACATGGGATTGAAGTCTGGCGCTTCAAACGGGCATCCATCGGCCATGCTGCGTGTACAACCACGGAGCCCTGTAATTACGAAACTAGTTGCGCGATGTTGAAGCCTGGGTCTCAACCCCTGAACTTTAAGTATCAGTCCTGGGAAGGACGGATCTTCCTCCTCGCTGGTCTCGGCCTGCAACTCGCAAACAGGGGATTTGCAACCGCTGCAAACGTCGCAGGGTCAGTCTAAACGATGGCAACATCACCAATGCGAAAAGCCTGGCCTAGCTCGGTAAGGTACGTCACGTGAAGGTAAGCGTGACGCTTTTAACATTTTCTGAGATTGAATCTTCCCAGCGGCAAACTGTCTTGAGCCACTTTGACTGTGAATCTTCGTATATTGGAACATTCCATGTGCAACTAGCCTATAAACTATATAAACGATATAAACTATAGGCTGTACTGGCTGATCCTAGTGGAGGGCGGCATAGGCCCGGAGTCGAACGAACATTAGGAGACTTCGGGCTCCGCTCCGCTTCCTCCCTGAGTGCACAACCCATGCTTGCGGGTTCATGGTTTAGGGTTTAGGGTTTTGGGTTTAGGGTAGTACGGGTTCATGGCTTATGCAATAATTGAGGGCTTGTAAAGCAACAAGTTTCTAGATCATTCCGGGTAAGCGCCGTCAGATGTGCTGCTTGACGGCTGCCAACATGTAAGCTGTACAGTATGAGGTCAGAATCCTTAAGTTGTACGACTGGGTATGGAGCGTCATCGGGATGTCGGATTTGCCCTGGTATGTTAGTCGGCTTCGGTCAACTCAAGAACCAAACACGTCGCAAGTGCAGGCCGCGAATACAAACGAACCTCGAGATGGTAGCCCCTGAATTTCAACCACATGCTGCATCTCCGTCACGTCTGTCAGAGGCGTGGCTGTGCAACAACATACTGCGATAAGTTTAAGTCAACTCTGGCCCTGCAAAGCGCGATACACCCTGCTCGTCAGTCTGAGCAAGTCGGTATCTTGTGCTTTGGCCTGGGAAATCACATCTAACGCGGCTCGTCGATGCTCCGGGCCTGCTTCATCGACGAGCTTTCGCACCTGTGCTTTGCTTTTGACCCTCGATGTCCGCGAGAGGCTTCCAAGCAGTGATGCCACATGAACGTCCACGAAGAATCGGTCCAGGGTGTCCATGCCCAACTGCGCAGCCCTCGAGGCTACTTCGTTGACTTGCTGCCATGGCCTTCCAGCATATGCAGCCATCACACATCTGAAGTGAACCTCGTTGGCAGATATGTTTCCTTGTGCCATTAGCTCCAAAAAGTACTCCGCGACCTTAGGCTTTGCTGCCAGCTTGCAGCCATTCAAGGCAGCACCCCAGGTCCCGGCATCAATATCCATGCCCTCTTTCACGATCTCATCAAGAAACATAGAAACTCGTGTCAGATCAGCGGCAGTTGCTGCATCAATTACCATTTCGTTCAAGAACAAATATTTCTGCCTCGGTGTCCATGTCGACCAGGTACCGTTCTTGGCATCCTCCCATAAAGAGTATGCCTTTGCATGATTCTTCAGCTTTGTGAAGAGCCGGACAGCCGATGTGTACGTAATAGCAGTTGGCGGTGTGCCGGCATCGCACATGTCAGCAAACACATTGGCACCGTACCTAAACTGTCCGCACCTGAAGGCTGCATGCATTATTCCATTACACATCGGAGCCTTGTAGACCTTGCAAGATTCCCAGGCTTTCTTGGCAGCAGGCCACTTCAACTTCTTTGACGCACTCGAGATGATGTTCAAGCTTGAGGTCTCCTGAGGTGTGAGTTTCACTGCGTCCGCTCCGACCTTTGATATAGGGCTCCTAAGGAGGAGACCCCTATCTTCGTTGAGCTTCTCCATCTGCTTGCTTACCCTGTGGCGCGGCACGCTGAACACAGATGATCTGACCGACCCTAACTGCCATGATGTTAGCAGCAGGATCAGTATCAAGCAGGAGACTACACCAGGCCGTGTCGGTTTTCTTGGACGATTAGTCTCCGAAAAGGCAGCCATGTCCAAGAAAAGGACCGGAGAGACCCAAAGCTGCAGCTACGACGGCAGAGCAGCGAATGGCACAGAGCTGGCCTACGCTTTGGGACTACAGTACAGTCGGGATCGGGTAAACGGCTGAGGGAACAAGTCATCCAACTGACACACACCTCGACTGATGCCGGAATGAACTCAGGTTGTGGAGGCCACAGGACGCAATGATGTCTCACCTTTTGTCTTCGTTTTCTGACTTCCAACTTCGGCAGCAGCCCATCTCAGGGAGCCCAATACCTTGAAGTTATCTCAACTCACTAAGCACTCAAGCCATTCCATTCCATACACGAAGCATCCAAACCCAAAACTCAAAATCCTAGGCCTTCAGTTCCTTAACACCAAACTCGAAATCCAAACCTCAACCATTCCTTGAACACTCCTAGCCCTGAGGTCTCACACCCCTCACAGCCCCGAAATGAAGAGCCTCATCTTCGAAGTCTTCATCGAACTCAACCTTCAGCCAGAACGGGTGTCCGGGGTTTGGGAGTTAAAGATGTTTTTTAAACATCCCTTCTTTCCGTCTCGCATGATTAGGGCTTAGGGGATTAGGCCGGATTCTAAAAGTGCGGATCAATTAGCGGGGGGTCCCGGTTAAAGGATTCCAGGTTCCAGGCTTCAAGAGTGCTTTCCGACGCACGAAGTAGCAATCAAATCTAATGACTCTACTGGTTCTGGCTCAGTCCAAGCGGAGCTTCCGACTCCAGCGTACACACTGTGATTTGAGCTCCGAGAATTAGCTGGTGTGACGGTCGAAGTCGGGTCTCAGGGGTCGGGGAAGTCCAGCCCCAGAGCTCGAGAAGCGGCTGGATCTTGGCACCTCAACCTTATACGTGCTACATTCATTGCAAGAGCCGTGATGGGGCTCATTTCCTGAAGTTTCACGACATACTTTCCCGAAGAGGTCGACCTCCGTTGAAGTTCCTCTTCCCAGCACATCCAAGCACACAATTTCGACACCATCCCAAAACCAATCCCTTCATTCGGAACCATCCCGCCTGCCTCCTCTAATTCAATAACCTAAAACCATGTTCGCAATCCTAAACTTCGTGAGGCCTGCATACTTGTAGAGCTCTCCGAACTGTCCATATGATCACTCAACCCCAGACCGTGTAATTACACCTCGACATCATCGTCGTGCTCTGACAGGTCGTCGGCAACGACGGGGTCCACCCCTGCGACCTGCTCTGCCTTCCACGGATTTGGGGTTGCGGCTCATCATGGCAAGGCTCACTGTCATGATGGGGATGGTGATGCTGACTTGAATGGTGATGGCGAAGAGGGTGAACATGAGGACCATGCTGGTGATGATGAACAAACAAATGCTCGCGATGGCGGCTGCTGTGATAAAGGACCATGCGCATGTTTCATGCGGATGATGGTGAATAAACAACCATCGTGCAAGTGACGATGTGCTGAGGGACACTGACATTCATAACGATGATCGTGGAAGCAATGATTCTAAAAGCGATGGCGATGGCGTGCGACTTTGTTGGTGGTGATGAGAATTCAACATGACAGTGCCGTTGAAAGTGGCACTAGCGAGTTTCCGCGGTGTCCTCCTGCAACCGCGCACACCGTGCTTTTAATCTATTGCTCCTCGTTGCCACAGGCTTCCAGAAATTATCATAGTCGCATAAAAAGCTCTCCAAGCCATCATGGTTGCCACTTCACAACAATCACCATGTTTCCAATTTTTCCAGCATCGGTCAACATCATCAGCAGCAGGAGTGGCACCTACAACAGCAATATCGTCACGATTTTCTTGGTGTAGCCATTTCTCTCCATCCAGAGCCTGTATGACCATGGCGCATGCTAGTCGGTGTTCTTGTGCACATAAAAATTGCGCAAAAGCTTCAGTCACTCCTACCACTGTTCATAAGCACAGCAGGCCACGCCTCTGATTCGGTGGCTCCCGGCTGGCTCGGCTCCATCGCTGAGGGCTGCGGCTTTGACAAGAACTCCTCAAAGTCCGAGTCGTAGTTGTAGGCCTTCTTGCCCTAAGGGTCCATGTACTCATATAGTGTATACATTGGCCTTAAAGTACTCCCTATGTAGCTACATTGGGCTCAAAGTATATACTATTTGGGTACATGGACCCTTAGGGTTGGTTTAGGAGTTTAGGAGGCTTGAGGTTTAGGGCTGAAGCCTTTGGATCATGTTTAGGATAGTTAAGGCTTGGGGGCTTAGATGCTTTTAGTGGAGGTCGGGATTGAACTACAGGATTTGCATCTTTTTTTGTGGGTTTTGTTGATATTTTGTTTTCCGGTTTCGGTCTGAAGCTTGAATGCATTAGCGCAAACGCGAAGTACAAGTTCGTTATGTTTGGCGCAGTGTATAAACTCTTTGAAACAGTAGCTGCCACAACGCATTGCCGTCTCGGACACTGTTGTAGTAGGGGGTTAAGACTGTTGACCGCTCTTTAGGGCCTCTCTCGCAAATGCCCACGATGCCCGATGAGTTGGAGTCTGGAGCACATCATCCGTTCCCAAGAGCAGAAGTACCGGTACCCGAGCATGGAGACGACCCCTAAACATTAGCCTAGGCATTCCATCAAAGCTTCAAGCCCCGTCATCAATGTTTTCATGAGAAGCAGCCTGTCCTCTTCTTCTGCTTCCTCTGGAAGGTTCGACGCTGCCGTTCCAGTGGTTCCTCTGGGTGGCTTGTGCAATGCTCGACTGGCATATCCAGCACTTGGGGCTTTCAAGAGTTCCGGGCCTCTGCTTGTGTTGCGAGCTTTCAGTTTCATTCAAAGTACATGGCTGAACAGTTTCGATCCAGGGTGCAGGATAAAGCGCCAAACCCTGATCTTTGCAAGGTTTAGGGACTTCTGGTTTGGGTCAAACTGTGCTTTAGGATGCCGGGTCAAGCCTTCGAGCTTCGTAAATCTTTCCAGCTCTCCGATCGCTGCAGTCTGGAATTCGAGATGGTGGACATGGACTTATATCGGGACCTGAACACCTGATAGTGATAGTACAGCTAGTAAGAACAAAAACCAAGAATAACGGCAATGCTAAGAAAAGTATGACAATGATACTTTACTTGTACCCCTAGTCAATCTTTAACTCGACGGCCAGAGCAAGACCAAAGTCTACTTGTTGTCTGTCAGGACCCTGCAGCGAATCTGCTCTGTTTAATCCCATGAAGACCAATACCAATACCTCTGGGCCCTTGAGTAGCTATAGGTAGTCTTTCAAAAGAGCATATTGAAGGCTTGCATAAAGTTGGGAACATTTGGACTAAATGGGGGCTAAATCCTGAAAGACCCGACGCCAAAGAACACCAAAGCATGCAGAGCCTAGCAGTTCCGAATCGGGCTGTGCGTCCGCGGCCTTCGCAAGCGATTTGGTGCATGGCGTCGGTGCTCAGACGCAGACACTCCAGGCGAGGCAGGTTTGCTGAGGTCTGATTGAGAATTATCCCTGTAAGCCCTAACCCAGGCAGCTCGACTTGAGGCCTGATATCTCCACAGGTTTATGAGGTTTCCGTTTCGCATAGCTTGAATATCTTGCGACAAGTGAGGCCTTGTCGCGGCGTTATTATAGCCCTCCTTGGGATTCATCATAATGCTTCACAGCATACAGCAAGATCCGTCTTGGAACGACCTCAAGAAAGGGCACATCGCTACTTGTTAAGAAGCCTCCGAAATCAGCAAGAGCTCAGCCCTTTTCTAGCTGGGCCTAGGGTTTAGGGCCATCAGCCCTAAGCCGAACATCTCTTACACAAACTTGCGGCGCCCTTCTGAGTCAATCCCACAACACAGACAACAGTCCGGGAACGCCGGCGCATCACACCCCAAAGCCCAACGCAGACAAAGCAAGATCTAAAATTCAAAAAGCCTAACGCTGCAACAAAAAAGCAAACCGAACAAAGTCGCTTGGGAGCCATGTTTTATCAGATCCTACTCGCAGCCCTCAGCCCACCAAACCTGCGGTTCCAGTCTTAACAACCTCTGTACCCACACAAAACCCCTAAGTCCTGTTCCAAAACTCCAAACCCACCTCGGGCTTGGGAGCTTCATCCGAAGAAGGCTCTGAGGGCCTCTCACCATCTGTGCCTGCGGAATGACTTCGGGGACTCTGGAAAGAGCCTTCGATTCCCGGGCTTGGGGATACGAGCTCCCCGAAAGACCCGCTAAGACCCTTTAAGTACCACTAGATCCACATGTTTTGGTCCCCAGTAGTGGGTCGTTTAGTAGAGGGTACTTGAGGGCACTAAGGGCAGCAGTTTTCAGCACCGAAACCCCGAAAGCCCGAAGCTTTCCCCTAAACACCAAAACCCCGGATGCAACCCTAAAGAACTGCAAACTCGCAAACCTCATAGGTTTGTCACACAGATGAACCCAAAAACATCCGGATCCCAAACCCCAAACCTACTCCCAGCCTTCTTCCCGAGGCCCTACCGAAAGCTCATCCGCGGTGCCAATGGCGTCCTGAGCGAGTGTGGCAAGGCTCTTTCGTCTTTAAAGCTTCGGGTTCTAGGCTTTTTCAGGTTTTAGGACAGGATCCAGAGTGAGCATGTAGGTCGATAGTGGTTGGATTCAGGGTTTTAAAGTGAGTAGGGATTCGGACTGCAGGGGACTCCGTTGGGAGACCTTAGGAAAATCACTTGCAGCAGGAGTGAATACTGCGAGCGGTGACTGGAAGCATGCGCCCACTTTACCAGTGTGTGTGGATAATGTTTTCACGATTAGACCCTACCTAAAACCCGTTAGGTTTTGGTTACTGTTTGGGAGCTGGCTGTGAGGATAAGCCGTTCGCTTGACAGACTAAGCTTCGCGCCGGAGAAAGGCTCACATTGCTGTTGGCTGCCTGCAGAGTATGGGAAGTTTCCCACAACGACGGCTTGCTTGAAGCATTGTCACAGGACTTGAAGCCTAAGCCGTAAATGGTGCCACAAGTCGTAAGCATCGTGACGATTTGTGAAGTCCAAGTCTCATGCAGAGTTTAGACTTCAGGAGCGGTTGAGGATCAAAAAAACTGATACGCACGAGTCTTGCATGCACTTGGTGGGTCGAGCTTCGCAACTCTCCAGACATATGAAAAATGCCCAGGCCAGGAAGAAATATCTTGGTGATGAATGGATGCACGACCTGATGGAAAAGGAACGGCTCTTGCTTGTAAGCTTTTACGCATGCAGGCTTGCATGTGGCATGTGTACCTAGAACATCAAGACAGCCAATGCAATCACACAGATGCAAGCGATCGAAGGACACAGCAGGAAGCACATGAGAGCGTACATGGGCTTCGTCGCACAAAGCTACACGCTCGCACTTCCAGCCTGCACATTCCAACAAATGTAGGTCTCCACAGGGTTCATACTTTAAGGGGTTAGGGTGTAGAGTTCGCGATTTACCCGGAGCCTAAACAACCTAATCTTTACTTAAAAACCTCCCAAAATATGTAAAATAATGGCCCAATACCCATAAAAGGCTATTATTCTACATACTCCCCCTTGGGGTCCAGGTAAGGATGTATAGAAGGAAAACGTAACGAGGAATCCAGGTAGGTTCTCTAGGAGCCAGGCCAGATAGGGCTTAGGGAGTCTTTGCGAATGAGTACCCTAGCCACAAAAAAAAGGTTAACCTTTGCAGTTCAGAAGATAACACATGTGTTGCACTCTCTTTCAATTATTGTAGGATTATGTAAAGCTCCCACTCCTCAAGAAAAACGACTCAGCTACTAAGGAGTTAAGGGGTACCAGGCCTGGGAGTAATTGTCGTCCTCGGGCGTGCCAGGCTTGTGCAAGCCATTTCCTTGCGATCAGCAAATCACAAGAAGCCAAAAGCTCTGGGGGTTTGGGTTTGGGGTACATCTTTTAGGCCCCGGTCCTATACCCTGCGAAGCCCTACATGCCGATCAGGAATGACTTTCCGAAAACCCATCTCTCAGCCAACCTTGATTTATCCTCGTATGTCCATCAGGTCCCAGCTTGAGTCTTGAGCTGCCTGGCTTGTTGCCTGCCTTCCTGTGAACTATGCTGCCCCCGAGTCCTAGGACAGTTCTGTCCGGTGTATCATCTTATGCATCATAATCCAAACCCTAAAGCCAAACCCGCAAGCCGCAACAGTCCCTTTTAATCAGCCTATCAGTTGCCTTGAGGTGTCTTTGCCCTTCGATTTGTTGAGCTTTGAGGTTCATCATAGCCACTTCCAGCAAATCCGTAGACCTTGGTAACCAGGCCTGAATGTTTTCTTGACCCTGATGTTCGCTGAAGCCGGTAGCTGCTGATCGGATCATTTGGAACTGTCAAGCAGAAAAGTTGGGTAACCTAAACCCCCCCAAGAATTCGAATACGAATTCGTATCTGTATAGTTGTAGATCACCAAACCCTATTCTACTTCCCCAATCCCTAATTAGACCCTAAACCTTGTTGCTTTGCAACAGGCCTTATACTTCGACTGGGGTCGGTCGCCCCTGAAGCTTCAGCAGCTTTACTGCTGGCCAAGAACCCTAAACCCTAAAAGCACATCACCAAACCCTATGCTAGGCCCCTGTAGGACCTTCCCCTCTCTGGAGTCAGGCTGCCTTGCTCCTGCGTGCCCGTAGACATCGCATCGCTGGCCTCGTTCGCCTCGCCCACTCTTCGGTTTAGCGTCTCAGGTTTTGGGGTTGCGGGCTCAGGAAGGAGCCCAAGTTTAGGATTCTGGGGATGAGGGTTTTAGGAGTTGGCATTCAACCTTGATGTTTTCTTCGTCTTCCTCATCACGTGAATCTTCGCAATCAGTCGCCACCGCCGTTCCCACTCTCATCGTCATCCTTTTATTTTAGCCTTCCCCACCACCACTAACCCCAAACCCATCCCAGACCACGGGCACAGACTTCCCTAAACACCCTAAAGCCTAAACCCTAAACCCTATAACGCCTAATTAAGCCCTAAACCCTAAACTCTGAAAGCCCAAGCCCTCAACCGTACTCTGGCCGAGCATAGCAGCGCCTCCATCTCCGGCGTAAAAGAGCCGACCTCCTCCTGCCGCCGAAGCCCCCAGAAACTTACCGTTGGTTATTGGGAATTAGAACAGGGTTCCTTTAAAAGGTCCATAAGGGCTACTATAACTACCATAAGGGTTAGTTTTGGTTAGTAGGGAATGGAAGAATGGTAGTAATAGTAATTATAATTGTACCCCATTCCTCCCTTCCCTACTAACCAAAGGTAAGGAAAGGGGCTTTCAACAAAGAAAACCGGATTCCTTCGAAGAGATCTTCTTAGGGGTTCCATACGGAACACTATAGCTTTAAGTGTTTATTAGGGGCCTTAACAACAAAACAAATAGCGGTTCAAAGGGTTCTTTTAAGGGTTCCAGAAGTAACCCTGTAAAGGTTTAACATAGGGGCCGTAGTAATCAAAACAAGGCTTACGGCTTAGGGGTAGAATAAACTATGCACTCTATGGGGATTGTAAGGGGATGCTCCCGTAAAAACATTGCGTGCCTTAAGGCAGTTGAGTGTCCAGTCTAGGGCCCAGCTGGGGCTTCAAGCCGTCGGAGTTCAGGATTTGATCGGAGTAGGGATTCTCGGGCTCAGGCCTGCGTAGCACAAACCGAAAATGATCTGGTCAAGCGCAACTCTGCCAGCTCTCCTCCGCATCGAACTCATTCGTGTAGGAGAGCTCCAGTTCATCCTGTCATGCCAAATTACACTATGTAAGCCCGCAAACCCTAGGCGCCCTACCTTTAGCAACTAAGGTGCCTTCAAGAAGGTCAAGGTAGCGATCGCTTTGAGGCCGTACCCCTTATTTTGGGGTAGATTGGGTGCTCTTCGTACGTGGACCCTAAAATGTAGACTTGTTTGGATAACCGCTGTTATGGTTAGGATACCATAATAAGAGATGGTCGGGTCTAGGCGAGCTGGTCGTTAAGAACTGCTGCGTTTGGATAAATGACATTAAAGACCTGTGCAGTAGCATATAGATAGACCGAGTCCGTACACCCTAACTCGTTTGACCATTCTGGAAGCCATGGGCGAGGGTAACGACAGCACATATGACATGTCCATGTGGATGCAACATGAGAACGGCTCGCACCACAGAAAGCCCCTTTGCGGCTAATTCGTAAAGCCCTTCAACCCTCATCCCCAAATACTTACGGTCCCTAACCCCGAAACCCTACATGCTAGTCACTATAGGGCTTCGTTGCATTCCGGCGGAAAGCCTTGACCTCATCGGAGACTTCTGGCCCAGTCTCTTCCAAGTTGGGCCCCGGTGAAGGCGTCTCAGTCGCCAAAGGCTGGTTAGCGTCCACCAAGCTCCTGTTTTGCAGCAACAATCACGCCCAATGAACCACTATGCATCCTAAAGTCCTAAAGCACATACACATAGACACAATTTAGTGGCAGTGCATTGGGAGTCAAAACAGGTGAAGCTTCCACGCGTGACTCTGTTACATAAATAGAGATGGGGAGAGACAGGGAGGAAGAGAGAGAGAGAGAGAGAACCATTAAAGCATGTGTGTGTGTGTGTGTGTGTCTGTGTGTGTGTGTGTCTGTGTGTGTGTCTGTGTGTGTGTCTGTGTGTCTGTGTGTGTGCGTGTGTGCGTGTGTGCGTGTGTGCGTGTGTGCATGTGTGCGTGTGTGCGTGTGTGCGTGTGTGCGTGTGTGCGTGTGTGGGTGTGTGGGTGTGTGGGTGTGTGTGTGTGTGTGTGTGCATCATTGCTTCGGAATCCACTTGGCCGCAGGAGGGCCTCTCTCTGTCCTAGTTCATCTTTCGCTTTTCTACCTCTGTGGTTGCCTCTCTGCCTTGGATTGGGCTTGGGGTGTAGGGCATGCGCTGCAAGGTCCAGCCTTCAGATTGACTTTCTCTGCGGGTGTGTATCTCTATATAGTATATATATATATATATATATACATATACATATACATATATATATATATATATATATATATATATATATATCTTTCTCTCTCTCTCTCCCTCTCTCCCTTGCCTGCTCTCTCGCTTTGGAATTGCAGACCGAGGGGCTGGCTGCAATCCCCACTGCAACCGAGGCTCGCGTTTGGAGTCGAGGCTTCGGCCCCTCCCAGACCAAGTGGCTGCAAGGGAGCATGGCTCTGTGGGCCATTTTCGGGGATGGAAGAAGGGGGCTGCGGAGGAGAGGGAGCCGAAGTCAAGGAGGTTGCCTCCTTCTGCTTCTTGGGCTGGGCGGCTTGCGGCTTGGGTGCGGGTTTGGGGGTCGGGGATTTCTGGCTGCGCTCGCTCCCAACGCGCTGGCTGGGGTATGGGCTGTGGCCCTTGCTGTTGTCCGTAGCATGCCTGAGGCAGGGATAACCTTTAGTCTACCACGTATACTTCCTTGTTTGCCTGAGCAAGGTGTGGGGCTGGGACCTTAAGATGGAAAAGAAGGTAAGCAATAAATCTGCAATGCAGACAATGGGTCCCGCTGTAGAGGGTTGAGTGCCCGCCATAGCGTAATGAGATGCGGCTTGGTTCGTGGGAGACGTTATAACTGGTTTGAGTGGCATTTGTGGGGCAGATCCACGGCTTCCACGACACCAACCAAGTGGCTCGATGTTAGCGCCATCGCTGTGTCTGGCTGGCGCCCGACTCCTCTCCAGTCTTAAGCGCGTCGAAAATAACATTCGTTTGAACTTCTCTGCGCTTAGGGCATAGGGCTTCAGGTGTTTAAGGTGATGGCTCAGAGTGTGGGTCCAAAGGGTTTTTTGCTTGCGTCAGGACCCACATCTAACATCCAAGATTGGCCGCATGTGGCAACATGCTGCACACACGAAGGGGGAGGGAGGCCTAACTATGTCTACAGCAACGGGCACGACTCCATGTTCGCTCGTTTCCATCTCAAACCAATCCGCGACATAATCATATTAGTGCAGATAGTCTACATTGCCCGTTAGTCCGTGTGGCTGCAAACAAATAGCCACCTGGCCTGGAAGCCAGATACCTACATCGTGGGTTGCTGCCCTGGAAGATCATACAGAAACTCATCCTAAACCCTAACCCCGCAAACAAAAGCTCCCCGATCAACGAAACCCCAAACCCGAAACCTTTAACACATTTCAACCCCAACCCGAACCATGCGGAACCCCGAACTTCGTTCACCCGGAACCAGTATCAAACCTAAGCCGCAAACCCTGAGCCCCTTCCAAAGCCCGACGGCAAAAATGTGCGTAGCTCTTTAAGTTAGGGTCCGCTTTAAATCCCCAAACAGTACGGCACACAGAAAACAGGACCCCAAACGAGACCCTAATCTAGAGAACAACCCCTATCCAAAATAATCCTCGCAGGTGTGGGCGTCGGCTTCGCAGAAGGCGGCGAAAGCACCTCGGCTCTCTGCTATGCTGGAAAAAAGGATGGATTGAGGTTTAGGGCTTAGGGCTTATAGATCTAGGGCGTCTAATGCTTACGGACTTGACTTGAAGGGGGCACAGGTCGACGAGCTTCGGCGGTTAGTCGTTGATGCTTCCCGCTGACCAGGGAAGACTAAGAAGTCCAAAGCTTTCAGTTTTTGCCTTTGAGGGGGTCTTCGGGTTGCTGGGGCTCAGGGCCAAAATGGGTGTGCTTAGCTTTGGGTTGGGACTGAGGGTTGGGTTTCTTGTCTTATGTACTAAACGGGCATCAGACGCACCCTGAACTTCCAAGATGTCCCAAAAAACCCAACCACTCCTGCTTAGCCTTCTGAGTCTCTGAATACAGAAACCCCGAACCCTGGAAACCCGTACCCTCAGCCCTGAGCCTAATGTAGGAACCTGATTAAGAAACCCTGGCCTATAACCCCAAAATGATAGGATTCATAAAAGGAACCCTAGTAAAGGCCCAAGGTTTCTTAATCAGGTTCCCACATTAATTCCTTAAGCCCTAAACCCTAAACCCAAGGTTTTTTAATCAGGTTCCCACATTAATTCCTAAAGCCCTAAACCCTAAACCCTAAACCCAAGGTTTTTTAATCAGGTTCCCACATTAATTCCTTAAGCCTGAGGATCCATGTACCCACATCGTATGCATTTCGGCCCAAGGCCTGCAAGGGGTTCCCAAATCGTGACCCTAAGGCCCAAGTCTGAACCACATGGCAGTTTCAGAAAAGGAAAATGGGGGGGGGGGGGGGCCTAACATATATTTTTTTAAAGAAGATGTCTATAATGGTAGCAGTCCTCAATCATGTACGGTTCGGTTCTGAAATCGCAATGCATCGGTACATGGAGCCTTCGAGTAAGCCAAGCTTCTTCCTTGCCCGCAGGATCCTTCGCCTTGCGCACCGGTCGGTCAACGGGCTTCCTCACGGCCCCTTCTGGCGAGGACTGAGCTGCTTCCTGGTTGTTTTAGGGAGTAGGGTTGAGGGTAGGGTGGAGTAGGGTTGAGGGTAGGGTTTTGCGGCTTTGGGGTGTTGCTGTTGCCGCGACGATTGAGAGAAATAATTCCTTCAAACCCCAATTAAGACCTTAGCCGTGAGCTTTTTGCATAAGGACTTGCGCAATCGCCTTAACCTAAAGAAGCTCGGGTCCGGGACTCCTAACTGAAGCTGTGAAGGCTTTCGAGCTCCCGAGCTGGGTGAGGTGCGTGGTTGTCAAAATGATCCCGTTTTGGGTGCCTATTATGATGCAGCACCTAATATTTAGGGTACCCCAAAAAGGGGGACCTAATTTTGACAACCATCCATGTATATCCGATATCGCTTCCCTTCTGACTACCGGGCTTTCGGGATAGCTCCGAGCTTGACAACAGTGCAGCAACCTTCTTAAGGCCGGAGCTGCCTAGGTCTGAAGGGGCTTCACAAGGGCTTTGGGGGTTTGTGGGTTTAGAGGTTGCTTCAGGGTGTAGGCTTTAGGGCTTGAGGAGTTTAGTTTAGAGGTTTGGGTTTTATCCCTCCTACCTAGCAAGGACGAAGCCCGCATTGCAGGGACTTTGGGGGTTTGGGGTTCAGGGGTTTCGGGGTTTAGGGTGGAAGACCGCGGCTCCCTCGCCTCGTCACTTTTGCTTTTCCGTCGCTTTGGAACTGCCAGGGCCTCGGCAGGTTCAGGTTGGTTGGGTGGAGTCCCAGTCTCTCTACTGCCAAACCGACACTTCGAAACTTGAAACAACACTACTACGGCCGCCTCTATGGGGGGCCGAATCGTCACGAGAAAAACGGGAGATCCGAAGCTAAAACCTCTTGATCTGCGGCAAAAAGCCCATGTACCTCCTCAAATTCAGTCTCTCAGTCTCTCTTGTAAGCCCTGCCATGAACCGCATACGCCCTAAATCTGTAAAGCGCAAAAATCCCTGAACCCCTGAAGCCAAAGCTCCGCCAAGCGCTCCATGGAAACGACGCGCGCCGGCGCGGAGCTCGGAGGCTTCTCCTGGCTCCTCATGGCGCTTAGGACTCTAAGAGGGTTTAGGGAATTAGGGTTTTAGGGATTCGGGTTCAGGGTTAGGTTCATTAGGGTTCTGAGAGGGATTGTGCGTGTGTTTAACAGCGGACTTTCGAAGAGTGTCGTTCGGGGTTTATGAGATCTTTGTGAGTGTTTTCATGGGGCTTTAACGATTTGGTAAAGTGTTGGTAAGTGGTTTAAGTTGTATCAAGGTCGTTCTGCAAACCTCCGAGTCAAAAGCTCGCTCCCTGAGTGCCATGAGTATGAGGATCGATATCTTATATAACCTTTCTTCGAAGCAGGGATGCTTTCAATCAGGGACCTACATGAAAAGCGAGGAACGAGGGGTGTAGCAGCGAAGAAAATTGCACCAACAACTATCCCTCTCTCTCTCTCTCTCTCTCTCTCTCTCTCTCTCTCGAGGTTCTAGCACCAACAACTATAGCTGTATAAATTTTATTAATCGCGGCTAGACTACTTGTTGAATTAGTAGGGGTAGTATAGGCATATTCGGCATTGCAACAGCAGTTGCCCTTGCATTCCAGGGCACGGCTGTGATGTTGGCTTCTGCAGGGTCACAGTCGACAGAGCCACCAGCGCCTTCGCCCCCGAAAGCTCTCCGGATAGGATCCTCGGACCAAAACGAATGAACCAGGGTTTGCAGGGTTTCAAGTTTAAGGTTTGGGGCAATGCCATTGTTTTGCTTTCTTTTCTTGTCGAACCGTTGCGGACTCAATTGAATTTGTTTATCAAATTCGTCCTGTTTCTTACCAGTGCTGTTATGTTTGTTTCTCTCACTATAGGCTTGAGGATACGAACTCCAACCTCAACAAAGTTGTGGGCATCTTCGGTCTTGCGGGTTTGATCAGAGCTGTTGGGGCTCGGGGGTGCTCGGTCTGTTACACTCTAATGCAAGAGAGGTCCTTCGAGGGAGATGTGATATGCATTTGCGTTGCAGGTGGCAAAGCTAGGTTCTCAATGGTGCAGCGACCGGGTTCTGTGACTCTTGCGCTGCCGTGGTGCACGAACACGTGTACCGGACACACTACAAGCCCTGAAATACCAAGTTAAACCACATGAAGTGTGCTCGGCAGAGGACTCCCTCGCGCCTGAAACCCTGCCTGCTACCACCGCTCCTTGCCTCACGTCTTTGTGCAAAGAAAGGAGAGATTTCTTCTGCAGCCATGACTCTGGGTGGTTGTTGCCCTTCTGTCGAGGCTTCTGTGCCACTTCGGTGGGTTCTGGTGCTCGGGCCGTTCCTTGGAAACTTCAATCATTGCTTGGACTTCTATCGGCAGCTCTGCTTGCAAACGCCTTGCTTCTGTGATGTCACCGGTCTCTAAGATTTAAATGTCTTTAGGCTACATGGGGCGATCTGAATTCGTGGCCCTCGTGTATATCTACGTTCGCCTGCAGCAGCAACAGGCTGCAGCCGCCACCGCCACTGCCAGCGCCGCCGCCGCCACCATCACAATTAGCACCATCACTCTCGGTCATACTGGTAGTAGTCAGTAGTGGTACAAGCCTGGGCAAAGCAGCAAAGCTCGAAGTGCTACACCAGACCCCAGCCCGCGAACCCCCAAAACTGATATGGGGCCCGAAGAGAAAACTTACAAAACGCTGCTCCCTGCAACTTACCTTTTTGCACACGACCCTCGCCAAAAAGAAAATGAAGCCCTAAATTTTCGTTCGACCTATTGCAGTAACAACTATATTAGAAGGCCTACACCCAAAACCTGAACTCAATGACCGAAAAAATCACCCTTACTCACCAGAAAGAACTGAAAGAACCTACAAGACATACACAGACCCCACTGCATCTCCATGGAGCCCTTGAAGCCCCGAACCCTGAAAGCCCCAAAGCCCAAAAACCCCTAAGCCTAAACCCTAAACCCTAAAGCCGCGCAGTCATGGCTCGGAAGCTCCGGGCCGTTTTCCGGGAGCGTCCTGGAGACTTCCCACGAGCTTGGCCAGGAGCTTCGGGAGGACCTTCCGAGCCCAAAAGACAGATTTCAGCATGTACGTCATAGGTGCATACGATTGCGATGGACGTGTGTATGCGTGTATGTCTACATATACCTACATCTAAACCTGTATACCCTGGTCTTCCAAAGACCTTGGGATCCACGGTCTCAGATCTAGACCCCCATTCCCCCGTGATTAGCGTGAAAGACCTCGCTTTTCTGCCAGGTCGATTCTGACTCGTTCGACCGTGGCTTATGCAGCTTCGCAACATGCGATGTCGCGATCCTAATCAGGAAAATCTCGTATTCTTAGAGTCTTATTTGATTCGCAGTATGAGAATGAAGCCTTTGGTATTCGAAGATAGTTTGCTATTTAATCCCTAGCCCGCCCCGAACCTACGAAAGTGCACATATCATGTGCCATTCAATCCTGAGCCTGCCCCAGCGTGCAAGCCATGTCTTTTCCTCATGCTCCGCGCAGCTTGGAAGCGATCGCAACGTGCGCCATACAATTAGTGAACCCAACCCTTGCCCTAAGAATTAAGAGCCCTAAGATCCTAAGCCTCATGAGCGATGTTTCCAGGTACATGCAAACGAAAGAAATGCCTTTGCGAGACTTCATCAGGCCACGATTGCTTGCCCTGTGCAATATGTTCCAGAGATTCTGAGATCTATCGCCTACCGCTTTCATGGTTGCAGTAGCTGGGCTCAGCAGAGGGTGTGGACTGGGGGACTTGAGGGAGTCCTTCCTACGCTGCCCATATTCTCGGTCAGAACAAGACATTTCTTGGATATCTACAATCTAGGACTGATGCTGGGGATCATTTCCTTATCGGTCGAAATTAAATTTGCGGGTTATATAAATTGCTGCCCAGCTGTTCTCCGCCCTCACCGGCAGCCATGCCGCAAGTGCCGTTGGACTTCAAAAGGGTCGAAACCTTGAAGGCCAGGGATCATTTCTTTCGAAGGAATTGATTTCAGAATGTTCCCAAAGCATTCAGGTCTTCTATCAGGAGCAGCTGGAGTACATGAATACGATGACGGAGAGGTTCGCCCATCCATCTTAGAATTAGTTATCTTCGAATATTTGAAAGCTCCAAAATTTTCAGGTTCATCAAGCTTGCCGATGATGTTGGCATATCTGAGAAGAAATCTACGAAGAAGCTTGCGAACGAGAAGGCAGGCATTCACGGAGCTTCTTTGAGAAATATGTTCCTCGATTCGTCTGATGAGGCCCCCTGTGATTACTCCTTTGTCGACGTGCCAGACAAAGGAATCACGGTCGATATTGTGGGGCCCTGATACGTTTCAATCTTTAGCTCACAAGCTAATTATAATTGTATTCTTTCAGGCAGAAGCCCCGCACGGGGCCGACACCTTCGAATTTCTCCTCAACTTTCTGGCGACGTTCTTGGAGAACTACCCTACTTACAGGGAGATGGTGGTCTAGCTTCCATGTTTGTTCCTGCTTTTGCCTTTTCTCAGGATCGAGTGACATTTTGGATTTGCCAGGCTGCTTTGGTCTTTGTAGCAGAGAAAAAGCCGTTGGTGAAGAAGTGCAAGCACAAGTACCAGCGGCAGGCGAACTTCTATTATGTGATTTTGCAAACTATTCTAATGTATGTTTCGGATCTTCTGGCAGGCCTGGGCTGAAGAAGAAAGCAAAGTTCAGCGCGAACTGGTGAGTTACGTCAGGTTGCGAAGCAGAAAGGCTCGCAAAACGAGGTCCACAGCATGGGGTCTTTGGGTTCTTGGGGTAGGGGTTTTCTGTTGGTTTCTCAGTGTATGTATTGAGAAAGAGACAGTAAGAGAGAGAGAGAGGGGAGAGACAACGACAAGGAGGGAGGGCGGGAGAGAAACATAAATAGATTCCAAAACGAGAACTTATTGATGTTCCTTCCTAGGAGAAACCTGCCCAACATGACGATTTTGAAAGACATTGTGTTGGAGCACAAGGCCAGGTCAACGCCAGAGTCAACTCCTTGGTTTCTTGATATGATTCTTTTCCCGTAAAGGCGAAGCTTCAGCAGGAAGGACAAGAGGATCATGATGATGTCCAGGAAGGTATGGAGGAAGAGGAGATGGAAGATGATCCAGAGGTATCCGATGGAGGGGAGAAAGATCAGGCTGAAAGCCAGGCTGAGGAAGAGAGCTCCGACACGGAAGAGGAGGAGGAGAACACAAGCAAGCAGGGAGAGAGAGATGAAAACAACCATGCGATGAAGGAGCCCACAAAAGAGGAACAGGCAAAGGAGGAGGAAAGCGAAAGGAAAGAAAATGAGAAAGGTGAGAAAAAGGGTCCGATCAAAGAGGAGGAGAAGAAGGCAGATGCGCAGAGAACGGAGGAGGAGAAGAATGAGGATAAGAGCAGCAAAGCCAATGCCAGCGAAGCCAAAGATAAAAAGACTGAGAAGAAGCAGACAACTCCGAAGACAAAAGAGGTAAAGACAGCGCAGAAAGAGAAGAGTGGGAAACCATCCAAAGGAAGCAAGGACGAAGGAAGCCTTGAGGACAAGCAGGAAAAGGATACTAAGGTAAAGAAAACCAAGGAGGAGAAAGAAGAAAAGGAAGATCTCCCCAAGAACAAGACAGAAGAAGAGAAGATGGAGAAGAGAAAGAAGAAGATAGACAAAGATGAGAAGCCGACAAAGAAGAATGAGAAAAGGTCGAGGAGCCGAAGTGAAGAGCCAAAGAGAAAGTTTCCCGATAAGGATTTCGCCACGCGCAATCGCCGTGGCGACGACTCGATGCCGCCGGAGGCTTCTAAGGAAGAAATGGAGGCTGCAGCTTCAGATGCAAAGAGACAGAAAGCTTTGAAAGACGAGAGCAAAGCCCAGAAATCCGTGGGGGCTTTCCCGGCGGGGCTCTCCTTTAGATAGTTGCATGCTACATATGTATTTCGTGTTGTTCATTGATCCAGATATTACTTTCTGATCCAGGACCGAAAGCCCTTGACTGACTTGCCCGAGTCGTTTGACTTGTCGGAGCAAGCTGCCATCTTCCTAGCATGTTTAGAAGAGACAAGGGCAAAGAGGAAAGCGGAGGATGATGTTGAAGACGAAAGTCTTTTGCAGGCGATCTAAATTCTGTGTGATTTTTCCAGATTGCAAGATTAATTCTTCTAGTTGCTTCCCTATTCAGGCCCAGAAAGCAGTGCGCAAGATGGTCAGGGCTGCTCAAAAAGCCGAAGCCCATGATTCGGAAGACGAAGAAAAGAAAGATGAGGATTCAGAGGACCTGAATCAGCCACGGCGGGTCAAAGCAAAAGCAAAAGCCAAAGGTAAAGCAAAGGCCAAAGCTAAAGGCAAAGCTAAAAGTAAGCCAAGAATGACCCCAGAAGATGTGCAAGCTGCCAAGCAGGTTTATGACCAGGAGATGCTGGAGTTCTTCCGCGATGATCCTGCAGAAGACAATTCGGAGGAAAGCCCTGAGGAAGCCCCCAAGAAGGCCCCAAAGAACAAAGACCCGAAGAAGAAGGACCCAAGACAGAGTGACCCGAAGAAGAAGGACCCAAGACAGAGTGACCCAAAGCAGAAGGACCCAAAGCAGAGTGACCCAACGCAGAAGGACCCAAAGCAGAGTGACCCAAAGCAGAAGGACCAGAAGCAGAGTGACCCAAAGCAGAAGGACCCGCAGCAGATTGACCCGAAGCAGAAGGACCCGAAGCAGAGTGACCCAAAGCAGAAGGACCCGAAGATGGATAAGAAAGCCCCAAAGCCACCCCCCAGGAAAGGCAAAGCTGCTATCCCGTCGGAGAGTGATGCATCTTCCTCAAGCAGCCAAGAGAATGATGACGATGATGAGGCGACAGAGTGTGCAGCTGACAAGGTTTCCACGGATGATGACCACAAGGACTCAAGTTTGCTTCTGATAGTAAGAGTAAGAATCAAATTTCTGCATTGTGTGCTTAAGGACGTCACAATCAGGTATTCCAATGCTTAGCTGCTTTTCCATTTGTCCCGTGAGGAAGACCCAGAACATTCTTCTGACGAAATGCCTATGCTGTCGCCTCACAGCCAAAAGGTAAGGGCCAAGAGTGGAAAGTCGGAGAAGAAGGTTCTGTCGGAGGCTAGGGGAGGGTTATGTCTGCATATGATTTGTGTCATCTACATGTGGGGGGGATACGCTAATGCTCTTCTTATGTGCATATGGCAGGACCAGAAACGTCAAAGTCTGGTGCAGGTTGCGATGCTTAAGAAAGCTGTGAAGCAACTCGTGCATCCGTCCCGTAAAATCCTGGACCAAGTGTCCGGCTGGACAATGAGGGCACCGAAGAAGACCGATGCAGCGGCACCGAGCAGCCTTCAAGTGCAGCTGTCAGGTAAATTCTACATCTACCAGGTCAGCGAGTCTCGTCTCAAGAAAGTGAACGAGAAGCACAACTTGAACTACAAGGCTGATTGCTCATATCCTGCCAAGCTAACCTGCTGATCTTTTGATGTTCAGGTCAATGCTTGCCACGGGGTTAACATCCATTGGAACAACAATATTATCGGAGCGCCTGCGGCCTAGCTTTGAAACTTCGATTCGTGAACCCTTTGCCTGTCTTTTAGTGCATATGATTCCTGGCGTCAGGTACAGAGCGGCCCGAATGATCGCGATGGATCCCAATCGAAGAGGACTGAGCATCCTCATGCAAACGTTCTGAGAAGCAGACGCAAGCCACGGCAACCATCGCCGTGATTTTGAGGCCTGGAAAACACAATGGCTTTGCAAGTGATGCCTGCACGCATGCACTCTGCATGCAAGAGATCGTTGCAGACACGGGCCAGATTAGCAACAAATCCTTTGCGCTGAACTTGCTACTGGCTCATCCAGGCAGACGCTGTATTCACAGTATGTATTCATATTGGTATAACCCAGTGGGCAATAAACCTTCTAGCTGAACTTGAGAAAACCGAGTAGCTTTCGTATCCAAGCCCGCGGTCACAAAACCTTGTAACTCAACGTAGCTCACTTGGCAGCATTTAGTATGTCGGGCTGGGACCTCAATAGTCTCCAGGTGCTCAAAATAGGATCATGAGG